GTCACATCCGGCACCCCTACCTCCCTATCAATGCTCCAGCCAGGGTGAACCCTTTTCTCTTACCCGTGTACATACCAGGACCTCTGTCTGGAAGGTTTTTTTTTTTTTTAATTAATTAATTTATTTGTTAGAGAGCACAAGCAGGGGGAGCGGCATGAAGAGGGGGAAGCAGGCTCCCCACTAAGCAGGGAGCTTGATGCGGGACTTGATCCCAGGACCCTGGGATCATGACCTGAGCCGAAGGCAGATGCTTAACCGACTGAGCCACCCAGGCACCCCTGTCTGGAAGGTTCTTTGCAGCCTCTCTGTGTCTTCTCCCTAAGCTGCAGGTCTAGCTCAGTTGTAGTTTTCTTCAGCACACATCACCCTGCCCCAGACTCCTGCAGCACCCGGAGGGCCAGGCTTGGGCCTGTCGGCACCTTGATTCCTAGAAGCCCCCAGTAAACATTTAGCCGAGACTTAATGAGTGCACGAGGGACCAGGAGATGTTAACCAATGTATCTGATGTCAGTAAGGCCCTCCGCCTCCCTGGGCTGGGAGCAGAAGCATCGGAGGAGAAGACCCAGAGGGAGCGGGGCAGGCAGCTCTAGGCTCCTATTTCCTCCGATGCTCCCCCTCCCACTTGGGGTTCTCATTCTGTCCTGCCTGCTGCTGCCTCCAGGCCAAGTCCACAGTCCCCATTTCTTACTGGTCTTGGCAGGAATAAAACCTTCAGTCTGTTCTTTATGAGCTCAGCAGAGACCAGCTAGAATTTTCAAAAATAGCCTTCTAAGAAATTGAAAGGAAACACAACAACACACAAAACCTAGGAGAGTCAAGCCTTCCAAGGAAGGTTCGCTGTGCTTGGACTCCTGGAAGAAGCACGGACTGCCTTCCTGAACCTCAGATGATCTCCTGATGGATGGGCTCAGCTCAGCGGGCACCGTGCCTGGGTTTCCTCCCACCTCGGTTTCCAGCCACCTGGCCTCTCTCCACAGAGAGTGTGAGCTGGGCTTGCTCCTATACAAACACACTTGCATGCATAATCCACCAAAATACCCTGCTCCATGCCAGGACGGACTAACGCTGCTTTTCCTGTAGCGCCTGGCTTCTGGCCATTCCAGTAGCCCCAGTGAATGGCGGGTCTGGAGCTCAGGCGGGCCCCGGGCCTTCCCCACCAGGCCAGCAGCGCTGCCTGCCAAGCTTCCTCAAGTCATCAGGGCCAGGAGCCCTCAGCTACTCGTAGTCCTGGCCCTTCTCAGACAGGAGCCACGTAAGGAGCCATGTAAGGAACCAGCCTCCCCAGTTGCCCCCACCCCAGCCAGGGGCAGGACAATCCAGAGAGTAAGGGCGGCCATTGTACCCCTGATGGTGCAGCCCCCACCCCAGCTTTGCCCCCCCACACCCCAAGACTCTGCTCAGGCAGGAAGGTTCCTGAGATCACAAAAGCACCCCTCCTCCCCCTCCCGCCGCACCAATTTTCCCAGGCCCGGCCCCTGGCTCTCTCTCCCAAGCCTTACCCAGATGGGTGCACTTGTTTCTCAACTCCGTTTAGGCAAGAAAAGTTAGAAGTCATCAAAAGGAAATTTACTAGGAAGTCCAGACACGTGGCAGAGGCAGGGAGGAAGAACAAGAAAAGGCCCTGGCATGGAAACAGGATGTTTACCGGGCACAAGTTCGGGCCCCGACGGGAGGAAAGTCAAGCACAGGAAGGTCCACGCTTGGCAGGCTCAGGGCTCCAGGCCGGGGCCCCTGTGCCTGGAGAGGCGCAGCCTGCCCCGCGGCCAGCCTCAAGCCTTCCTGTAGCCCACGTGGCTTCGCTCAGCCACATCTTCCTCCCCGACACTGGCTTCGTGGCAGGCTGGCTGGCCCTGTCCTTCCCCACCAGAGATCTTAACTCGCCCCCATGCAGGCCTGGCCTCCCCAGACTGAAGCTCTGTCGGGGGCACCCCACTGCCTAGCACAGTGCCTGGTACACGGTAGCACTCTGAAGACTTCTTGCTGACTAACCTTTACCGATCTGGCTTTGAACTTGGCTCTGCCTGCTAATGGCTGAGTGGCCTTAACTGAGTCCTTAGCCTCCATCTGCAAAAGAGTCAGCAGAGGAGGATTTTTCTCCCCAGGGTTGGTGTGAGGCTTGGAGGAGAAAAGGCTCGTAAATCAGTGCCTGGCACGCAGCAGGTGTCCAAAAGGATACTTCTCACTCATTAAGCTCTTAGGATGACCGTGCTCGTCTCCACCAGTCTCCCCCACTCTTGAGCCTGGGGACATGCCTCTGGCAGTGACAGGTTTGGAGAGCTGAAGGGTGATCCCCAATCCCACGCTGGCCTCCCCGTCCCATCAGTGAGGGGATCCACTTCTCACAGACCCCACAGCCAGGTCCACCCCAAGCCAGAGACGGCCTCCTGCACCTGTCTCCTGGGCCCCTCAGCAGCCCCCTCCAAGCCCGCCGTACCAGTCCAGGGCCACCACTCCGCTGTTCTTCAGGGCCAAGAGCACCACTGAGGGTAGGACCTCTATTGGTGCTGCCCCAAAATTGAAGTCAAGCTTCAGAGGGGTGAAGACGGTGGGGATCTGGCTCGTGCTGTGTGGAGCAGAGAAACAGACCCAGAGACGGATGGGGACAGTACGGGGCCCTCCCAGGGGTGCCTGGCTGGCTGGCTGGGCAATCATCTTCCTGCAGGTGGGAATTGGGAGAACCTGGGACTCAGGGGCAGGGGCCAGACCTTCAGCCAATCCCTGACTTCTCTAGGCCCCTCCAGGGATGGGCAAGAATTTGGCGGGGGGAGATGGGGAGCCACTCCATGGACAGGTCCTGGTGCTGGGGGGGTGTGAGCAGAAAGCTCCAAGAATACCCCCAGATAGGCCCTGCCCCTTCCCTGGGGCCCTCCTCACCTGTGCCGGGTGGGCACCTTGTAGGTGAGCTCCCAGGGCGTGGGATCACGCTCCAAGTAAGTGTTGAGACTGTCCAGGGAAAAGAGGCGCCACAGGTGTTTCCGGGTGATGCCCTTGGCGCTGCCCATGGAGCAGACATCCAGGATGGAGAGTAAGGGGTACACAGCCGTCAGGAAGACGCGACACAGCTCCTGCCTCTTCCCAGCCTCGTCACCTAGGACGGGGTGTGGAAGAGAGGAGTGGCCTCACCTCCCAGCTGCCCTGGGGCGCAGCATGCAGGCTGAGGGGGTAGGACCCCTGGCCACCTGCCCAGGACCCTTGTCAGGAGCAGCAGATGTTTCCCAGGCTCTGGGATGTTTCCAGCAATAGCCAAGCCTCATCTGGTACTTTCTACGTGTCAGGCATTGTCTGAAACGCTCCGCATGCATCACTGTGTTAACTGCACCATTACTTGTTTTCAAACTGACTCTCACTAACGGCTTTACTGAGATAGAATTTATATACCATAAAATTAACCCTTTCAACCCATATAATTCGGATTTGTCGTCTATTCAGAGCTGTGCAACCATCACCACTATCTAATTTAGAGCATTTTCGTCATCCCAAAAAGAAGCCCGGCACCAAACAGTTGTCACTCCCCATTGCCCTCCTCCCACCCCCCAGCAACCACCGATCTACTTTCTTTATCTATAGATTTGCCTGCTCTGGATATTTCACATAAATGGAATCATACAACATGTGGCTTTTGGTGACTGGCTTTTTTCACTTGGCATAATGTTTTCAAGATTCATTCATGGGGTAACGCGTATCAGTGCTTCTTTTTTTTTTTTTTTGCACACATGCACACACATACACAGACATCTGCACACCAGTCCCCCAGAGCACACCCCTAGCATGCTAACGCTCACCCTGCTAGCCCTGTCTGGACCCTCAGCACCCTCCCACCCCAAGTCCTGCTCACACAGTCCTTCCCCTTTCCTCCCTGGCCCTGACTCTGCCAGATGGCCCAGGTACCTCTGTGGGAGAGGAGAGAGTAGCTGATCTTCCAGCAGTACTGGGACCGCTGGTGGGGACAAGCAGTCAAGCAGATGGTGTCCTGGGACCGGGGTGGCATGCTCCCCTCTGTGCGGTCCAGCTGCAAGGCTGCTCAGGGATGACCCGGGTGGGGCCGAGGGCAGAAGAGGTACTCAGTGCAGGCCAGAGAGTCCCGGCCTCTCCTCCTGCTCCTTTCCAGATACCCTTCCCCTGGGCCAGCAGAGCACTGGCCAGAGAGCAGGCCCAGAGCCAGGAAACAGGGAGCAGAGTCCCTCTTCACAGATCAGACAGAGAAAACCAGTCTTTGGGTCATTGGCACCTGCTAATGGGTGCCAGCAATAGTCCCATTTTATAGATGAGGCAGCTGAGGCCCAAAGAGTCACCCACCCCATGCCACACATGTAAAAGGTGGAAGCACCAAGTGTTAAGCCCTGCTCTATCTGCCCCCAAACCTTGATCTGGTTAACCATCATCCCTCACTGCCTGCTTCCCCGGCCCTGGCTCCGGTCCCGGCCCAGGCCCAGGCCCGAGTACCGAGCGGGCTGTCGTCCACGACCTCAGGGCTGCACTGCTCCAGGAACAGGCGATAATAAAGAGTGCAGTTGCCATCGTTCAGAAGCATCAGCAACCTGGACTGCTTGCTGTTCACCAGCACGTTCCCAAAATCCAGCTCCTTTTCCTTCGCCTGAGGGCCAGAGTCAGCCAGCCACAGCCCTGGCTTTCCCACCCCTGGCCTCAGACAATCTCCAAGGCAGGGCAGGTCCAGAGGGCCAGAAGGCTCCCATTGCCTGCCCCCTTGGAGTCAGGCACCCTGGGGCCTTCCCTCCCACATGTGCCCTGGCCCCCAGCTCCCCAGCCCCACCTGCCGCGGTTCTCCTACTCACGGAGAGGCTGCTGGTGATGCCGACACCCACCAGCCGGAGCATGTAGTGGGTGGTGGCTGGGGGCCTGGTGTCTGGGGGCAGACCGGCTTCCCAGACCCACATCCCCACTCGGAACAGGTACTTGGTCTCCTCCAGAGGGCTGAAGGTCCACGTCAGCGTCTGGGGCCACAGAGATCATCCCTTCGTGGGGCTCTCCAGAACCCCCTACCCAGACTCCTGACCACTGGAGGTCCCACTGCTGGAGATCAAGCTATGGTACCCCTTTCTGAGTGTTTGCCCTGTGCCAGGCACTTTCTATACATCCCTCAGCCCTTCCATCCTTTATCCCCACGAGGTAAGCAGTATTATTTAGTACCTCGTTTTCCGAGACAGAGAAGTGGGGTAACTTGCCCAAGGTCACATGGCTGGCGAGGGGCTTGGTGGGAGCTGGAGTGTAAACTCCTGAAACCAAATCCATAGCCTATGTGGTCTCTTGCCTCCCTGACTACTACCTGGGTTCTTCCAGACACCATGTGTTGGTGGTTCTTGGCCCAAGTTTGGCCAACTAGTCTATAAGGCCCTAAACCAGGGAATGGGGCTCTGCTAGATTGGGCCCCAGCCGGTGCCCCCCCTCCAGACTGCTGCTGGGACCTCGAGGATGCCCCTTCCTCATGCCTTAATGATACCCACCCATTTGGCCCCCAATCCAACTGCTCCAAACCACCTCCCAGCGATCTCGCAGCTTTGGGGACATGGATGGAGAGCAGACTTGCCCCTTGAAACTGGTTCAAGTGCCAGCCCCACCTCCTCATTTGTAATCTTCGTAAATGGCTTTTTCTTCTCTAAGTTTTGATTCTTCTTTGTAAAAAGGGCGTTTTATGACAATGGTAGCCATCCCACCCACTTCTAAGGCCTGGGAAGTGATTACGGATTAAATGGGAGGGGGCACACTGTAAACCTGGCCCCTGAGAGGCATGAGTAAGAGATGATGGCGAAAGCGAAGAGGACCTTGGCTCTCCTTGGAGACAGCCCACCCCAGCTCACGTAGACGTCCCTGAGTGCGTGCCTTGGCTGGGGGCCGGGGAGGAGGCAGATGGGAGCATGGGCCCCCAGCCGTGGGGTGGGGCACTCACAAGGCTCTCACTGGGCTGGATAAGTCCCTGAGCAGGCTGGACGGCCAGCATCTTTCGGTGCGGCTGGGAAATCCTCCATTCAAACTCCAGGGGCAGACGCGAGGGGTTGCGGACGGTGAAGAGGCTGGTGGAGGAGCAGCCCACCCAGGTGGGCTTGAAGAACACGCGCTTACAGGTGTCCAGCTTCAGCTGCAGAGCCTCCTCCCGGCTCTGCATGCTTACCTCCTAGGGCCGGAGGAAGGAGGGCAGTGCCCTGATGTGACCCCGCTGCCCTGGCTCCCCCAAATGTCCAAAAAGCCTGGGCACGGGCAGCTTCTGTGAAGACAGAGTAGGTAGTGACCGACCCAGGAGATGGTTCTTGAAAAGAACTCAGGGACTGAGAGAGGCGGTACAGACCATTTCATGGGCCAGATATGGGCCCACCACCCTGGCCCCTTTCCCTGGCCCAGCCCCAAACGCCCCTCTGCAACCTGCAGATATGAGTCTTATATTGCCCCCACTCATTCCTTTGGGACCTCTGCACCCCATTTCTTGTTCCAGACACCTTGAGGTGGACATGCTGGGCCGTGAGGGCGGGAAAGCTGTTCACAGATGTGGCCGAGGGGTCTCCTCCCTGCTATGGCACTTCCGGGGGAGGGAGGAGCAGCCCCTTGACTACTTTAGGGGAGCAAGAGAGTCCAAACCCAGAATTTGGCTTTGAGAAGGGAAGCCCCAGACTATGGCCCACTCCTCAGGACCCAGTCCCCTAGCCCTGCCTTTTACCTTGAGATACCGGAGGCAAAAATTGAACTGCAGGTAGAAAACATGCTGCTTCCAGGAGTTGCCCTTGGGGTAGGTACAGACGAGGAAGATCTGGTGGGCCTTGGGGGCCACGAGGCCAGAGCTGGGACGCAGGGAGATGTCTGAGCTGCTTTGGGGGGCCAAGTTGAAGGTCAACATCATGGAGCCTTTGTTGATCAACAGCAGGCTACGGTAGGAGGGTTCGTTGGGGGACACTGCAGGAAAGAGCTGGGGTACGCGACAAGAGGGACCCACGCTCAGATCTATGCGCTTCCCTCTCCCCTACCCCGCTGATCTGCACACGGGCACCATAGCCCTCAATATTCCCTGGATGCCTAGGGGCTCAGGGAAGTCTATGTGGGCTTGGGTGGGCTTGTCTCCAAGGAGAGCCAAGTACCTCCACACATCCTCGTCACTACCCTGCAAGCAGGGAATAGAGGGACATAGCTTGGCCCCCAAAAATGCTTCTGTCCTCCAGAGACTTCCAGACAGGGAGATGGAGTGGCTATAGGAAGTGGGCCCAGGAAACGCAGGCATTTGAGACCCCCCCACCCCTGAAAAGTTAAGTAGGTCTTTCATTTTAGGGTGCCCTCAAATCATCCTTTGGAGAATTCACTTTCAGAGATCCTGGTCCAGAAGCTCTGGGGTAAGCAGCCCCTTCTAGATGATTCTCTTACAGATGGCTGAGGGGAACCCCCCTCCGAGAAAGGGAAAGCCCCAGAAATCCCAGCTTCCAAACATTCCTAAAGCATGTAGGGTATGGCCAGCTGCAGGCTAAGAGCTAGGCCGGCCATATCACACAAGGCCCGAGATCGCTGACCAGGGCGCCCGTCCAGCTGGGGCAGATGTGCCCATGCCCGTGTGTGAGGCGGTGGGGGGCAACACAGGCCCGGAATCGGCTGGACAGCAGTAAAGGCCACAAACTGCTGGGATAAACCGGTCAAAAGAAAGGGACGGGGGTCAGGGAGGGGAACCTCGTGCAGTCAGGGAGGGACTTGAGCAGAATCTCGGGGGTGAAGTGGTTGGGGATTGGAGAGCAGAAGTGTAGCTGGTGAGGGGGCAGGATCACCCCCAGCACAGGGCCCCAGAGTGGCGCCTTTCCAGCAATATGGAGCGTGAGGGCAGTGGAGACGGATGGGAAGGATGACAAAAGGGAGGCTGGGAGAGGTATAGAAGAAGCCAGGACTGGAACTTGGCCGACTGGCTCTGGAGTTGATGCTTTTAAACCTTCGTCATCTGGCTGTTCGGGTCAGACAGGGCCTCCAAGGGCTCCTCAGAGAGCCCTGGGAATTATGACTCAGGAAGCCGAGGGACCAGCTTTGTGACCCACAGCTGCCTGGGCAATCTCCAAGGCCAGGGGCTCATGGTGGGTGGTCGGATCCCTAGCAGGTGTTCGGCAAACAAGGCACAGACAAATAAAGGAGCTAGAGAATCTTCAACCTCAGTGCAAGAGGCCCAGGGTGTATTTCAGATGGAGCAAGGAGGGGTCAGGGGTCCAAGCCCCAGACTGGCCCACAAGAGAGCCCTCCTTGACCAGAGCCCCAGGTGGGGAGGTTGGGATGGCCTGGGAGGGTGCTGGGATGTATCTGAGGCCAGCAGAGTGTGGACCGAGGCAGAAGCCAAGCTCCCCTGTCCCACCTCCTACTGCTAGTGGGGCCACGCTCACCTTGGGGGCGTGCAAGGAATACTGAGGGATGTGGTGCTCCAGGGCAGCATGATAGCTGTGGCCTCGTGCCCGGAGGGTCAGGCACCAGGAGGGACACACGGTACAGTCCTCCTCGATGTTACTGTAGCTCCGCAGGACCTGCACGGGGGCCGGACCCATGGACAAGCTGAGAGTCCTGTGTCCGACTCTGTGGGGCCCCCCCAGCCTGCCCCCCTGTGCTACAGGAGTCCCACACTGGGCACAGAGGGAGGAGAGGGTCTCCCTGGGAGGACAGTGCAGAGACAGCCGTCAAAACCGCTCTGACCGCAGCGCGCCAGGGCCGTGCTGGGCACTCCGCAAATATGCTCTGTAATAACCACAACAGCACCAGGACAGGGCCGGGGCTGGGATGCATGGACAGCATTCATCCTGCAGGAATGTGCCTAGAGAAGCGACGGCCAGTAGAAACAGAACACGAGCCACAAATGCAAGCCGCAAAGGTAGTTTTACATGTCCTAGCAGCCACATTAACAGAGGGAAACATGAGAAATTCATTTCAGCGATACGTCTTATTTACCCCAATAGATCCAAAATCTTACCATTTCAACCTATAATCAATACATAAGCGATGCGTGATATACCTTACATTCTTTTTGCGCCTAAGTCTTTGAAAGCCGGTGGGTCTCATACGATGTATCTCAATTTGGACTCGCCACATTGCAGGTGTTCAGTGGCCCCATGTGGTTGGTGGTTGTCATATCAGACAGTGCCGGGCCAGAGCCAGTAGCCTAACAATCTGGAGGGCTCAGCCTTGGCACAGCCAGGTGTCCACAGCCTTATTCCTACAAGCCTCCACAACCCCCCACTGCCAAGATATTAGAACAGAGGCAATTAAAGTCTCAGCTTTGGAAAGCCTTCTCAAAAGTTCAGATACGACCCCAAGTTTTTAGATGAGAAGACCAGGGCTTAGGGACATTAAGGGACTTGCTCAGGGTCACACAGCCGGTAAGGGATGCTTATCTCTCAGCCCCAGCACCCTGGCCGCTGGGAAAGCACAGCAGCGTAGGCAGAGCTGACAAGGAAGGGAAAAGGCAGGACCAGAGATGAGGGAGCGACCAGCGTCTGTGACCAAGAGGCTGGGCTGAGCATGGCCAAGGGAGGTTGTACTAGAAGCCTCTCCTCCCACACACCTAATTATCTGGCCCCCCTGACTTGGTCCCCCAGGCTCTGGTTCCAGCCCATGGCTCTTTTGGATGGACCACGTCCTACTTCAAGGACTAGAGAGAAGCCAGGAGCCCCAGGGAGTGACTCCTTGTGTGCCGAATTTTCCCAAAGGGCTTGACCCTAGCTGAGTTCTCCCTCTGGAGAGAGTGGGAGGCCACATATACGTGAGATGTAATCAGATGGGGCAAGAATCCCCTTGGCCAAGGCAGCCTATGAGCCTGGGAGAAGACAAACCAGTAAGGACCACCGTGTGGCCAAGGAGGAGCTTGGCACATTGAGGATGGATCCCACAGCAGCCCCCACCACTCCCTCCAACCCTGCCCTGCCATTCAAGCTCCAGGACAGAGAGGCAGCCCTCCCCCAGTCTCTACTGCCCCCACGCACCTTATAAAAAGCGAAGGCCTCGAGCTCCACGGCGTACAGGCAGTTGGGGTAAGGTGGATGGAAGTGCAGGCGCATGGCCATGGACTTGAGTGGAGGCACGTCACAGGTGTCTGGGGTCACCCAGAAGGGGCAGTCAGACCTCTGCGTCCAGACCACCGTGATCGTGCCCTTGGTGTGGTTCATCAAGCACAGGGGGACAGGGTTGGGGTTCTTGGGCCCAGGGCAGGCACCAAAATCCACGTCAGTGGGCTCTATGCTGACAGGTGGGGGGAAGATGGCTAGGTCGCTGGTACCATCGAAGAAGTACTCAGTCATGGGAGGAATGAGAGGATACTTCAGGGCTGACGCGTCCGCCAGGTCCTGTGTGGGGAAAGACAGGTGAGCGGGGGCCAAATGCCATTCCTCCTGCCATTCCCCCTCATTTGAATGCCCCCTTCATCCCCAACTACTAATGCTGCCCACAGGACTCTGGGGGAACACAACTTGCCAAGAATTTCTAGAGAAGGGGGCATGAACCTGGGGAAGGGAGCCTGTCTGTAGGGGGCCCAAAACAGTCCATCAAACCTCAGTGGGAATCCTGAGGGCCCCATTCTCATCTTGCTCCAGCTTCTTCTCCCGCAGCAAGATGCCCAGGATGTCAGGAGGGTAGAACGTAAGGCCCCGTGCCAGGTGTGTGTGGTACCAAGCGAGGTGCTGAGGCCTCAGGATGGCTGGCTTGGTGCTGTCCGAGTGGCAGGTCCCAATCAGGTCCAGAAACAGCGGGTCCTGTGACATTTGTCTGTATAAGGCAGGATTTCAGCCTCCGCCGAAAAGGGATGTGACCAGGTGCCAACTGGTCAGGGCACAATTTGTAGGACCTTGCCCATGGCCCTGAGTTGGGTCCTCACTTCAAGGCTCTCTACTCTGAGTCCAGTCCCCCCTCTCCCCAGCCCAGCAGCAGCGGCAGCAGCAGAAAAGCCCTTGACCTGGCTTGGAGTGAGCCTTCCTGTGCCGTTGGCCAGGCTCTGGCTCCAAAAGCCAGGCCGGGGCCCTGGCAGAGATGATCCAGGCGGAGGTTCCAGAATACAGGAGAGTGATCACCCACCAAGCACTGTCTTCATCACTGGGCCTCAGATCGGCTCCTCCAAGGCCCAGGAGAGCCCCTCCTCGCCTCCTCCCCCACCGCTCACCTGGTGGTGGATGAGACAGGCCACACGCCGAAAGTAGATGATGGGGTGAGTGGGCTGGAAGGTACAGTGCAAGGTCATGCGGGCCTTGCCCACCAGGGTCCCAAAGGCTGGTCTGATGCTGAAGATACTCTCTTGGCAGTCAATGGCAAACTGGAAGTAGGCTGTGCAGTCCGACTTGTTCTCAATCCACAGGGACTGCTCCGAGATCTGCCCAAGGTTGACCCAGCTGAAGTTGACAGAGCCGTGTTTCAGGGACACATCAGGACCTGGGCGGAGATGGGGCTCCTGTGAGCAGCCCTGCCACCTGGGTGGGGCTGGGCTATCAGGCTCCCCGAGGATGTCTCAGAAAGGGTCCCCCTGATGGGAGGTGGCTCTTCCTGGAGACCGAAGGCTGGGCTGGAAAGACCCAGAGCCCCAGCAACCTGAGCTGACCTCCAGGTTCACCAGGGGTGAGGGCAGGAACATTATCTCCAGGTGTCCCAAACTGATTCTACACTGAGCCCACCAGAGGGCAGCAGACACCCAGGCTGAAGGGCAAGGAGGCATCAGGCCCTCCAGGAAGGCAAGGAGCCCTTCCCAATCCTAAATGGGGGCTGCTCCTGGCCCCAGAAGTGCGGTGTCCTAGGGTGGCCAGTACCTCTACAGAAACCAACGACTTTGAGCAGGGTTTGGGAGGCACAGCCAGATGGCATGATGGACAAGTAGTCAATAGTTCTGACGTCCAAGGTCTCGGGGTGAAAGGACACGGACACTAACTTCTCCCCTCCTGGAGGCACAATGCCATTGGTAGTGGGGCACGAGAAGGTATGATCTTTGGCCAGCATGTCTGAGGCTACTTCGATCCGGAAGGGGGCGCTCACCTGTGGGGCGGGGTGGGGGGGTGGCAGGAAGGGTCAGGTCACAGGGTGAGGCAGCTGTCCTTACCCAAGTGCCCAGCTGAGGGGGTGAGGGCAGCTGAGGTCCAGTCTGTGCCCCACTTGTCAGCTGAGCATGGAGGCCACCTCCGCCAGGAGGAAGGAAGAGGCCAAGCTGTGTGCCGGGCGCTGGGACTGCCTGGGGGGCACTCTTTTCTTTCCCAAAGGTACCAGAAATGCTAGCTGTGGTCCTGGAGGTAGGACCACCTTAGGGCTGCTCTTGGAGTTGCTCTGGGGATGGTCAAGGGATACTCCAGCCCAGCCCCCAGCTGAGATGAAAAGACACCTGTTGACTGACACATGCGTGTATCAACAGACGTGGCTTATGTGAGGCTTGGGGCCAAAAGTATGGAGAGAAAGAGGGCATTTGTAAAGGGGATGGGTTTTAGGAGCAGCCCGTCCTGTGGTCCTGCCCCCCGCACCCCCATACACACACATAGGACACATACTGCCGAAGGGTTATAGAGCTTGATGTGCCTCTCAGCGGTGCAGCCCACAGCGACGGTGCCGAAGTGCAGCACTTTCTGGATGCCTTCAGCATCCTGGTCCTCTGGTCGCTTCTGCTTTATGCTCACCAGCAGCTGGGCGCATTTGGCTGGGGCAGAGATGAGGGAGTCTTGGGAAGAAACCCACCAGGGCCTCTGTGGCCCCAGCGGAACAGTCCCTCGAAGAAGGCAGATATCCCCAGGGAAACACTGGTCTGCCCCACCAAGGAAGGGAAAGAAAAGGCAAAGCCTGCAGGGCTAGGAGAGGGTGGGAAGCTGGCGGAGGTCCTGTGGAGGACAGGCCAGTGGGGGGTGTAGGGGGGCACATTGAGGCTTTGAGACCCAGGAGGGGCAGCAGGTGGGCTCTGGGGACAGGTGAGGGGTCGGGCCTCACCCACAGCCTGCAACTGGATGCTGCTCTTCTGCTTACTGCCCTCTCCATACCAGCATGTGGCCTGAACTTCATAGATGATGGCCAAAAGGGGGTGAAAGGTCACCTTGGTGTAGGAAGCCTGGCCTGGCTCCAGCAGCCCCGTGGTGGGCAGTACATGGAATGGGCTGGAGAACTCCCAGGTGAAGAAGGTGGGCAGGTCCCTGGAGGGGGTACAGATCAGAGCCACTGGGCTCATTCTGACCCCTGCCCCTACTTTAGAAAGGCAGAGATGCTGGGCTCCTCCTCTCCTCCCTTCCCCCACCAGCACCCCGGGACCCTCCTCACCGAGCTCACTCTCCCCGCCTCTGAGCCTCAGCTGCTCCCCTCACCCCACATTTTCCAGGCAGAACCAGGCCTCGGCTGTGTCCCCCACGGCACACATGGGCAACTGCAGGGACGGTGGGCAGATCAGACTGTGGCAAGGCAGGGTGGCCCTCAGGTCCACACAGAACATTCCCTCTTCTTTCTCAAACCAGAGCTGGTCCATGTACTCCTTCTGCAATGTGGGGGGTGGGAGGCCGGGGGCGGAGGCAGTCGTTGATCGGTGGTATCTGCATGGTACTCAGGGACCACACATCCCACCCCAGCTCTTGGCCATGTCTCCGACACATCACTGAGGGCGGTGTCCGAGGAAGTGTCCTCTAACACTGTCTTGGTCTCAGAGACAGGGGGCCTCTTTTGTATCTGGGGGAATGTTTTGAGAGTAGGAAGAGGCTTCCGAATCTAAGGCTTTCTGGTGGCCAACACAGTAGCACGGATTTTAGCTCCCAACATCCAACTGGGAACCCCACGCGGTTTAATGAGTTTAGGGTCAGAGCCTCTCCAGGGCTTCCCAAGCTGGAGTTTCTGCTACAGCTGTCAGGATGAATATGTGTGTGTCCTGGTGGGGGAGGGGGGTGCTCCTTGCTGCTCTGCCCTGCTTCCTGTTCCAAGGTCACGGTGCCTGTGTCCCTCCCTGCCAGCGCCCTCAAAATGGCAGACCTTACCTCCTCCAGAGGCCGGAAGATAATGGGGAGTGTGAAGGTTATGCCCGGGCTCAGCAAGATGGGCTGGGGGATGACTGTGAAGAAGAACTTGGTCTTGGGGGACCTGCAGGAGAGAGCCAGGGCTTAAGCACTTTAGGATCAGGGCTCAGAAAACAAGAAAAATCCCCGAGCGCTGAGCTGGGTGGGGAACCAAGGCTGAGAACAGAGGGGCCAGGATGCCGATCCAAGCAGAGCCATAGGCAGGGCTGTAGAGCTTCAGCATGGGTCAAAACCATAGATAGTGCAGACTTCAAAAATAGTCACAGGAAGACGATCCCGCCAATAACTCTATGCCAATAAATGTTAAAGTTTAGGTGACATAAACCCATTTCTAGGAAAGTATAACTTACCAAAGTGGACTCAAAAATTAGATAATACAAGGGTGCTTGGGTGGCTCAGTGGGTTAAACGTCTGCCTTCGGCTCAGGTCACAATCTCAGAATCCTGGGATCGAGCCCCGCATCAGGCTCCCTGCTCAGCGGGGAGTCTGCTTCTCCCTTTCTATCTCCCTCTGCCCTTCCCCCCTGCTTGTGCTCCCCCTCTTGCCCCCATCTCTCTCTCTCTCAAGTGAATAAAAAACCTTTTAAAAAAAGAAATAGATAATACATTTTATGACCACCTCACCTAATATCATCAAAGCCACTGAATAAGTAGTCAAAAATCTTCCCACAGAGAAAACACTAGGCCGGATGGCTTCACAGCAAGTCCTACCAAATGTGATAAAAAATAACCTCAGCCTTACCTTCCCAGTAATATAAAATGAGGAAACACTCCCCAAAGTATTCTATGGATCCATCATAGTGTTGTTATCAAAATCTGACCGAGGTAGGAGAGGAATGGAAAATTACAGGCCTATCTCTCTCATAAACAAAATGAGAGAGCCCAGAGAATTTAGCAATGTATAGAAAGAATAGTGAATTATGACGAAGTTGAGCTTACTCCAGGAAATACATGGTTGGTTCAACAGAGGAAATCAATGTCCTCCACCAGGTTAACAAATTAAGACAGAAAAAAAAAAAATCAAATGATCATCTCAATGAAGAAAAATATTAGATAACCTTCAACATGTTTGTGAGAAAAACCCTTTTTTTTTTTTTGTGAGAAAAACTCTTAACAAACGAGGAATAGAAGGGAATGTCCCTAACCTGGTAAAATCTTTAAAAACCCAAGCCAAAAAAAAGGCCACAGGAAACATCTAAACCAATGGTGATACACTGGAATTTTTCACATTGAGATCACAAACGAAACAAAGATAAACATCAGTGGTGGAGGAGATCATCAGGGAAAGTATGAACTTTTCAACAAATGGCTTGGGGACATTTGGACATTTGTTTGAGGAAAAGAATTATCGGATCCCTACTTGAAACCATTCACAGACACACACACACAAATAAAATAAAACCATTCACAAAAATCAATTCTGCATAGATAAAAGACAAACATGAAAAGCAAAACTATCGTCTTTAGAGGATACTATAGGAGACTGTCTTCATGACCTAGGTAGGGGGAGAGAAGGACTTCTTAAGCAAGATACAAAACAGCACCAACCATAACATAAAAAGATTGATACATTTGATTCCTTTGAAATGAAGAACTTCAATTCTTCAAAAGACATGGTAAAGAGAGGAAAAGACAAGTCACAGGTGGGAGAAGATATTTACAAAACATAACTGACAAAGGATTAGTAGCCCTAAGAACTTCTATTACAGACAGGGGCGCCTGGCATTGGGACTCTTGATCTTGGGGGTTGTGAGTTCGAGCCCTGCATGGGGGTGGAGTTCACTTAAAAAAAAAAGACAATCCAATAGAAAAATGAGTACAGACTTGAACAGGAATTCCACAGATGAAATGGTCAATAGCACATGAAAGACACTCAGCTGTATCAGTAAGCTGGGAAATGCAAATCAGAGCCACAAAAAATTACCATTGTTGGAAAATTTTTAAATTCTGACAATAACAATGGTTGGTAAAAATGCAGAGGTGCGGGAATTCATGCCTGGCTGGTGGGAATAGAAATACAAATGAGTACTTTAGAGAACAGTTTGGCTTTATCTATAAAAAGCAAACATGGACACGCCCTAGGTCACAGCAATTCCCCTCCTATGTATCTACCCTAGGAAAAACTCTGTAAGTGAAGATCTATACATGAATGTTGATCACGGTTCCAAACCAGAAACAACCAAAACATCCCGCAACAGAAGAATGGATGAATATATTACAATATAAGCATCTGTTGGAATATTATACCGTGATGACAAAGAATGAACTATTGTTGCATGCAGATGAGTCTTCCAAACGTAACTTAACAAAAGCCAAGGAGTTACAAAAATATATCGTACTATTCCACTTATGTCAAGTTTGTAAGAGAGTAAAATTAAACTGTATCATTTAGGGATGCAAACATAGGTGACAAATCCATTCAATTGAGAAAAGCAAGGAAATCATTATCATTAAGTCAGGAGAGTGGTTACTTTTATGGTAGAGAAGATGTTTCAACAGGGGAGTGACACACCATGGGAGGTGAGCTTCAGACACATACTATTCCATTCGTAATCTGGTCACATGGGCTCCACTTCCAATAATCATTCAAACTGTGCATGTTTTATATAATCTTCTAATTTTATACAATAACTTTATTTTTTTAAAAGATGTATTTATTTTAGAGAGAGAGTGGTGGGGAGGGCCAGAAGGAGAGGGAGAGAGAGAATCTCAAGCAGACTCCCCGCTGAGCGAGGAGCCGGATGCAAAACTGATCTCACAACCCTGAGATCATGACCTGAGCCAAAACCAAGAGTCGACACTTAACTGACTGAGCGACCCAGGTGCCCCTAATTTTATACAATAATTTTAAAGTTTGTTTTCCAAAGAGTGACTGTTTGGGGGGCCTGAGGGATCGGGGGCTGGGTCTCTGATCCCTGATACTGGTACCTGTACGTCATCTTTTGGGTTTTCAAGGACAGATTTTTCAGAGCCAGGCTCTTGGTGATCTCCTTCCCGAGTGTCCAGCCTTGCCACTGCAGCACCTCGGCCACCTCAATGCCCCAGATGACCCTCTTCTTCACTTTGTCTTGCTTCTTTGAGAAGCACATGCGAGTGTCCGTCAAGCTGGCAGGCTGTCCAGTTGGCAGGGAAAAGCGGGAGAAGAAAGGACGCATTAGAGGGGTAAGATTCAAATACCCAGAGAACAGGCAAAAAGCTCCCATCTCCAGAAAGCAAGGAATTGACCCGACCCTTGGCCCCTGGGGGATGGTCTGGAGAGAGAAGATGAGGGGCAGTCAGATATTACCATTTCCCAGGCCACTGCAACGGTTTTCCAACGAGATTCTCCATGACCCTTCCCCTGCAGCCTTCCCTGGACCACCCCATTGGGCACTGAGCAGTCTCAGCTGGTCGGTTCTGTTCCTCAGTGCACCCAAAGGTACCAGTCCCCTCGAGGGCTGCCTTCTCCTTTCCTTCCTTCCCATCCTACCCTTTTGCTGTGGAAACCTCTCCTAGCTGGAGTGGTCTATCCCACGTACTTTTTGAGACCACAGGAATACTCTACCATTCCCTCTCCCGTCCCTCAACTGGCTGGTGGAGCAGGGGAAGGAGTCAATTTGCCTTCAAGAAATCCCCACCCCCCGCCGTGATGTGGGGGCCACTCCAAGCACTGTTCCTGGCGATGTAGAGGCGCAGTGTGCCAAAGCTTCCCATCTATAAGGGAGAATCCTTCCCGAGCTGATCCCTAGTCCCATCTACCTGAGGAGGGAGGGGGACGGAGGGGGCAAAGCCAAGGTGAAGGGAAGATGAACAAGGTACCTCTTCCTACCACAGTCATTGCAATGAACATTCCCCTCACTGCCATGTTATTTTATCTCTGGCCAAGTATTGCTTCTATATTGTTACTTAACATAAAGATATATTCATCCACTGGGCAAATATTTGTTGACTACATATCACACGCCAGACATTGTGCTAGGCGCCAGGACTACAATAGTGAACAAGACAGACGCATCTCTTCTGTCTTGGAGCTTACACTCTCAGCTTAAATATTTACAGAGAGTGTCAGGTGGCCAATATAGCATTTTTCTTTCCTGGTTGACCCATGGAGGAAAGGTGACATGGGTGAGCCAGGGTAATTTATGGTAAATATCAGTTGGGACATCAGTCAGGGTCCAATCAGGAAAACAGAAGCCACCGTGGGTGTTCAAAACAAGGAATTTAATGCACAACCAGGGCACAGTGAAGTAACCCAGAAGCTAGCAACATCAAGAAGCTGCTACCGCACTAGGTTAGGGGAGGTACTGGGGTTCTCACAGCCCCGAGGCCTGTCTGGTAGGGACTGGAGTCACGGGGAGATGCAGCTGCTGATGGGAATACTGTCACAAAAGTGGGGGTGGGGGAGAGAAATGCCCTGGCTCCTCCCTTCCTCCCCGCTTCCAATCTCCTCCCAGGTCAGCGCAGAGTGGGGAAGGGCCATGAGGGAACATGGGGCAAACAGGCCTGGAATGGCACAGATGGAGGGGTGAGGTGGCCCCCGGTCCTCAGGAGACACAAGAATGCACACACAACACAGACACACATTGCACCCCACACAGTCCTACCCCACAGTCACACTCCTTGACAACCCCCCCCCCGCCCCTGTGATGTCAGCCAAGAGCTGCAAAAAGTCAGCAACATCCACATCTTGGTCAAACACAAGGGGTGAAGCCCAGAAGAACTTTCTGAGGCAAGAGAGAACCCTTGACTACTCTCTCAGCTCTGACTGGCACCTCCCCAGAGTTCTTCACATGCACCCCCATCCCCCACGGCCACTCTTGCCGCTGCCACCACTCCAGGTGGCTTGGTGCTCAGTGTATGCAGGGTCTAGGGTTGGGGTCTGGACAGGGGGAGTCAGGTCCTTCCAGATTCCTAAGCGCCCCCCCCACCCCGGTCCTGCAGCGCTCCACCCCACCCCCCCGGACACGTGCTCACGCGGGCACTGGTGTTGCTGCTGCAGGCACTCAGCGCCACACTGCTGCCAGTGACAGTGGGGACGGCCACCGTGCTGGTGCTCAGGCAGGAGCCGGAGTTCATGGTGCAGTCCCCGCTGTCCCTCGTCTTCATCAGGGGGCTTGAGGCTGCCTGGATGAGCATCAGCCACCTGGAACACAAGTCCAAGGGGAGCACTCTGGCTGAGCCAGGAGTTCCTGCCAATGTGGAGCTAGGAAGAGACCGGAGGGGACACAGGAGGGACATCAAAGAGAGAGGCTCGTGGAGTAGACTGGCCGTGGCCGTCGTTATCACAGGGGGGCCCAATTACCAGCTGTGGCACGGAGGTACGAGGTGGCACCATGAGCAAAGAGCCGGGATACAAGATCCAGCGCTTTGCCCAGGAGCCTAGAAACTCATCATTCAGGAGAGGGACTCAGGGATGAGGCCCACCCAGCCCTGCCTGCCATGGCCACCCTTGGCATTTCTCAGGAAGCCCCCAGTGACTGTCACTGAAGCACACATATTACTTTTATCTGGCTTTTGCTCTCTACTTGTTTCTTCGGAGTGTGTCTTGCCTCCTGTGAGAAGGAGGAGAAGGGGCAACGAAGAGGTAAGTGAGACTGGATGGTTCTTGGTCTTTCGGGTTTCCTCTATGGGTATGCGACCTGCAGTCCAGGTTTAAAGTAAGCATTCACTGAAATAATCACTCAATCCAAAGATAAGCGAGTCAACTTCTAGAGCAGAGGGATCCATGGAGAGACTGTAGCTGGAAATTATATGCAAATATATGCAAGGGTTATATGCAAATCATATGCAAAATGTCATATATATATGGCGAAGTGCTTTTTTTCCAGGGAAAGTGTCCACAGCTTTCACCAAATACTCAAAAGGGTGTTTGGTCCTTCTCTAGGGAACACACGCGGGGCCTAAACTCCAAATCCCCTCTTCCTTTAGGAGATTTCCTTCAGCACACACACACCCAGGTGTGGCTACCATATTGGACAGCATCAATCTAACACCTTTTTGAACATATGTATATTTTTCAGACTACTCAGTGTCCTTCCCCACCTCTTTGAATAATAATCGCAAAAAATAGTAACAACTTTTACTGACATTTACTGAGAACTTATGTGCCAAGCAGTGTTGTAAGGCCTTCTCATGTATTTTATTATTTTTTAAGATTTTATTTTTAAGTAATCTCTACACCCAACGTGGGGCTCGAACTCACAAACCTGGGGTCAAGAGTCACATGTTCCACCAACTGAGCCAGCCAGGTGCCCCTTATGTATTTTAATCTTTACAACAATTTATGATATGTAAGCTGTCTTTTCTTTGGCCTAAAATTATCTCTTTTCTGGGCACCTGGGTGGCTCAGTCAGTTAAGTGACTGTTGATATCAACTCAGGTCTTGATCTCAGGGTTGTGAGTTCAAGCCCCATGTTGGGACTCCATCCGGGCGTGGAACCCACTTAAAAAAAAATTGCCTCTTTTCAAGTTTGGGGTTCAGCTTTCAACTCCTTATTATAACATATTACATTTTAGTCAATGATTTTATGGTTATCCTTTAGAAATTTATACAATTTCATCAGACACTCCCATCCCCTCCCCACCACCATCCAAAGCAAAAGATTCTGTTGATTCAGTGTTTCCTAATTGGCAACACCTCCAAAACCTCTGGAGAATATCTTAGATTCACTCACTCACTCATTCATTCATTTATTCATTTGCTCACAAAGCATTTACTGAGTACCTGTTATATGTACAGTGCTAGGCAATGGACAAGACAGGCAAGGCCCCTACCTTCCATTATAAAGAGGATATTCAGAAGGAATCAAAGAAATGCCAGCTGGGGAGACAGGGAAGAGAGTCCCATTACTTTTCAGCTATTGGATGGCTTTGAAGTCCTGCCTGACTCAGTAAAGTCTGTGACATCAGGGGATTCTATAGATAGCCAATACCCCAGAGCTCTGAAAAAGTCTCCAGTCAACACAGGTAGAGGAAATTAGAGACAGTGGAGTAGAAATCTGGTCCAGATCAGGTCTTAGGGCTTAAGGAAGAGAGCGCTAGTCCCAGAGAGCTGCATCTGCTCAGGTTCACTGAGATAGGCAAGTTTCTCCATCTCCTGGAGCCTCAGTCACCTCACCAAATGAAGGTTATCTTATTCCACAAAGTTGATGTGAAGTTGGAATGAAATAGGGGATTTGAAAAAGCCCTAGAGGAACCAATGTTACTGTAATTAACAATCATAATTTCCATACTCGGTTGAGCTACTCTTCCAAAAGACACCCATCTGCAATCACTGTGAAGACACTGGGCAGTGTAGGTGTTGTTTTTAAATCCAATTTTCTAATCTTGAGGACTTTAAAAAAATACATCATCAGCTTCCTTTATTTGCCTCATTTCCAACGTAAACATTCCTAAGATGACCAGTGGGAAAAAAGTGGCGGGTCGTCGCGTAGTGTGGAGTGGAAAAGAAATTGGTAAAATGAAGTGATAAAAATACTTAAGGTCGTTCCTCCGTTCTCTAGGATATCCCCAGGCTGAACTCACCCTAGTCTCAGTCCCACGGGGCTCTCTAAGGGACATGGAGGGGACCCCCGGCCACAACTTCCCAAAGGAGGCGGTCTCCCGGGACAGATACCTTCGGTGGCCACTCGCGCTGTTCCCCTGGTCCTGGGACCAACCCTCAGAACTCACTCTGCCGCCATGTTGTCGTCTCCATAGAGACAGGACGCTCAGGACACGGCGTCTCCCGGTACCCCAGGACAACGACGGCATCCCGAAAGAGTCATGCTCAGGGAAGGCGAAAGCACCGCCCAATTTTAATGCTTACCCTTTTTTTATTCTCTGATTTTCCCTACTGGTAGCCACTCAGCTTCTAGCAGTCGCAACATGCAATGTATAGTCTCCTAGTTGTCGTGACGTCCTCGCAGTCCTTATTTTAGTAGACGACCAAATTCATAGGCGGTTACTCCATGGGCTCGTTCCCGGAGTGGGAGCCGTTCCAGTTCTTTCCGGCCGCGCGATGGTGACGTAGGGTCAGAATCTCAACCGGAACTTCAGTCTGTGATCGCGATTGTTAACTTGAAAGCGCCCCGTAGTTGTTTTTCATTTGCATATTGCTTTACGACTGGAGTCCTCTTGCAGGTGGGAGAGAAAGTGTCCTATCCGTTTTCTGCCGGCATTACCTCCTCCCTGGCACCAAGCTAACTCTATTCTAGGGATCTGGAGGTTAATGTATGACGAAGGCACTGGTATGCTAAGGTGGATTCTTGGAAGCGCATTTGTTGATTTGTCCGCATTTGCTTTGTGGAAAAGGTCTGTAAAATAACAAAAACTCAAGGGAGTAAACTTTAATCTAATTGGCTTTTTAAAATGGATTTTTGAATTGGGCAACATCCCATCTACCAAGTAGAGGGGAGCTCCAGGGAGTTACGCAAAATGGAAGGTTTTTATAGACAGGAGGGTGGGACAAGATGTTATTAGCAAAGGAAAAGGAAGGATTATTTCAGGTAAGATGGCCTTCCCTTACGGGGAAGGGCAGGGGCTCTTATTACAGATTATTTATCTTCTTTTGGGGGTTGGAGAGACCACCTGTGACAGATGACCTCATTGGTGCTGACCAGAAAATTCTTGTCTGACCCGTTAAGACTACATTTCTGGGGGAGGTTGAAACTTGGTCTAAGTGACACCATTGTGGGCGTGTGATTTTCTTTGTAACAGCTCTAATTTGGTGAAGACTCCTTAGGTGGGTGAAGCTGAAAGCCTCAAAGTTCATTCTGAGCAATTAAAGATGTTTCACTACCCAGGACAGTGATGGGGGGTGGTGTTACAGGGAGAGACCTTAGTGAGTCTAGGGGTAAACCCAGAAAATAAACTCTCATTTTGGGAAAGTTGGCGTTTACTTGTGAAAGTAAACAATGGATGGACTAAGATGACAAAGTGGCATGAGTTGGCCTGGGAAATCACATGGCCAGAGGCCGGCTGAACTGGAGGGACGGGGCAGGCCAGGGGGCCCGTGAAGTTATGCCAGCACCATTAGGTCTGGAATTTTCTTGGAATCAAGGAACGTGGAACTCAGTGAGCTTTTCACCGGTTTTAATGTTATTCTCAGAATCTGAAACCTGCACTTTGGACATGACAATGTCTATGCTGTTTGTAGTTTCTATAATGATTTCCTTTTTGTTTTCCTCTAAGCTCTTTTTGAAATGGTCAACCTGACTCAGCTGGACCTTAAGGACAGGGAAAGGGGCCTGTTTTTCCATTCTTAGGCTGAAAAGAAATAGGAGCAGTGACTCTGCAGACAGGGCTTGGTGGTGGTCTCAGGAATCCCAGCAAGAACACCCCAAGGAGGTGGGAAAGCTCATGCTAGGAGCCATGTGTCCTTGTGCCTCTTCACTGAAGGAGTGTCCCTCCACAGCTCTGGTGTGCCCAAACCTTGGTGGATTCATTGTCCTCACCCTGTGTGCTCCACTTCAGTGGGGTTCTGGCTTCCTCCTGAGAATTCTGCTGGAGAGCTCTGACCTTGACTGACATAGTGGACTCCCAGAGAGAGGTCCAAGCCGGACTTTGCTCCAAGAGGCAAACAACATGGAAAGGGGTGTGGCAAAGGGTTGAGTCTCAGGAGGAGAGAGGAAGCTGAGTTTGCTTTGGAAGTCCCCCTTTCCAGGAGGCCAGAACCCATGGGGAAAAAATGGGTGCTAGGTCCTAGTGACTGTATCTTCCATGGACCCAAGAAAGACAACAGGGTGGGTGCTGTTTGGTTCAAGGCTGTGAACAAGGGTGGGTGATGATTTAGGAAATTGATGAGGACCGGGATGTGGGAGAAAAGGAGGAAGGAGGATGGGTAGTAGGCAGACTTGAATCCTTTTGTCTGGAAACCTTGGCTGGAGGTAATAAAGATAAAACACACACTCAGTAATTTTGGCTTCAGCACACTCAAAAATATCTTTTCTAAGTCCTCCCTCTCTTCCCCCACCAAATAGAATAGAGGAGATTCTGGGCTGGGAAATCAGACCTGAGATTAATCCTGACTGTCACTTATTGACTGTGTGACCTTGAACAAGTCACATGACCTCTCTGAGTCTCAGTTTCCTCAACTGTTATATGGGGATAATTATCAAAAGACTCGTGTAGCAGGACACATGGGTGGCTCAGTCTGTTAAGCGTCTGCCTTTGGCTCAGGTCATGGTCTTAGGGTCCTGGGATGGAGTCCCAGGTTGGTCTCCCTGCTCAGCATGGAGTCTGCTTCTCCCTCTCCCTCTGCCTTTCCCCCTCCTCCTGCTCATGCGCTCTCTCTCAAATAAATAAATAAAATCTTTAAAAAAAATGGGACGCCTGGGGGGCTCAGTCAGTTAAGCATCTGCCTTCGGCTCAGGTCATGATCCCAGGGTCCTGGGATCAAGTCCCGCATGAGTCTCCTTGATCAGCGGGGAGCCTGCTTCTCCCTCTGCCTGCCACTCTCCCTGCTTGTGCACGCTCTCTCTCTGACAAATAAATAAATAAAATCTTTTTAAAAAATCTTTAAAAAAAGGCTGGTGTAGCGACAGAGTGATCAGGCATGTGAAAAGTATTTTAGGCATGATAGACAATCGATAAAGTTAGACGCATGTGCATGCACAGAAGATGGTCACTCACCAAATGGGAGGTCCCTATAATTAAGCCACTCGGTTTTCTGTGCACCCTCCCTTCCTACCACCTCCTAGCCTCTCTGCTCCACACTAGAGAGGCAGGAAGTTTTTCTTCTCTCCACATCCCCCTCTTTTGTTTCTACAAGAAGGAGCCTGCCTTGGTGCTCTGGGATGGAGAAAGCAAAAGTAGGTACCAGAGTGATTTTCTGTCCAGTTGGCAAGTCAACCCAACTCCAGAACCTGCAAAGTCCCCTCCCATCTTCCTTCCCTGCAACTCTGACTCCATTTCCAGTGTTGGTTCTGAAATCAGGTCTGCATCCAAGATGTACTTAACCTAGGGGAGGGAGATGAGGAGGTGAGTCCTCCCACAGAAATTTCTGACCTCTGAAATTAGTGAGAGCCCAACCTGAAGGGTGAAGAGTGAGAGAAAGCTGCACCTGAGAGGGCCACTGGGTGATTTGGGGGCTGGATCTAAGAGCAGGCATGGAGCACTCTCTGCATTAGAGTGCCATGGTCCTCTGAAGCTGCTGGGGGTGGGGAGCACGTGTCAAGAAGTTGGTGGAGCCTCCAGCCTGAAAAGACTGCCAAGGCACAAAACTGGCAGAGGCTGGAGGGAAACTGTCATATCACAAGATAATTCAAACGAAAGAGTTCCATGCTGCCTAGGAGGCCCCCTCCCCACATAGGGTTTCCTACACTTTTGTGCCAACCTATACTCCCTAGATAATTTGATCCCTCCATTCATTGTCCCCACAAAAGGGTAGATAGACATGCAAGCCAACATTAGGTGGATGGAGGGAAAATGACATGAGGCTTAATCCCAGGAGACTTGAGTTCAAGTTCAGGTTCTACCATCTGAGAGCTGGGTGATTTCAGGCAAATTATTAAACATTCCAGAGGCTGACTTTTCTCATCTGTAAAATGGGGGCAAACAAGGATAGTATTCAAAATTCTTTTTTTTTTTTAAAGATTTTATTTGTTTATTCATGAGAGACAGAGAGAGAGAGAGAGAGAGAGAGGCAGAGGGAGAAGCAGGCTCCCAAGCAGCAGGAAGCCTGATGCGGGACTCGATCCCAGGACCCTGAGATCATGACCTGAGCCGAAGGCAGACGCTTAACCATCTGAGCCACCCAGGCGCCCTTCAAAATTCTTAACAATTGGTAAAGTATGCATGCCAAGCTATGGTAATGGATACCGGCTGGCCTTAGAGCCAGAGCAGGGTCCTGGTTGCTCACATTATGCCAGGCTTTAACCCTTTTGTTGTTGGGTCATGGGGAGAGCTGGGAGTAATGGTGAGGGGACAGGGAGAGCAGCCACAGCAGAGGAGGACTCAGCCAGTGACTATTTCCCAACTGGTACCAAAGTATTTCCAGATTTTAACAACCAGTAGAGCTATAGTGGATAGTATTAGTTGCAAGTGAGACCTGAGGAAAAATCCTACCTCACCAGCTGCTGTATACACAGTTACTTATTTCTAGCCAAAACCTGAAGTGTCTCCCCCTTGAATTCCTCCTCATTGGTGAAGAATCAGTCACCACGTCTAACTGCTCTTCCTTTCTATTCTGAGCAGTGCTCCTTCTCCGTGTTAGCTTTCCCAGCTGTCTTCCCCTAGACCATCTCCTCCTCTCTCCAGCTACACGCCTCTCTGCCCAGCACCATGGACAGCTCTCGCTGACCAGCCCATCCCAGGCCATCCCCTTCCCCCCTTGCCTTCTGTCCCTACACCTCTGACCCACCCCAGTGTGGAACCCCTGAGGTATGAACTGAATGAGGGTCATCCTTGAAAAGATAGTACAGTGGACTGATTAAGAACAGCTCTGGAGTAAAAAAGTTTGGATTTGAATCCCAACCCCACCAAAAAACTCTCAATTCTATGATCTTGTTCTTTTGCTTCTGTAAGACCCAGTCTGTTCATCTGTAAACAGGGAAAACTAACACCTACCTCAAAGGTTGTGAGCTTTAAGTGTGATAAAAGATTTAAAGAACTTAGCACCATGCCTGCCTTATTATATGTTCTAAATAAAGGAAGAACCCATCATTATTCTGTGACTTTCTATCCTATTTAATTCCTCAAACCCTTTTCCAATCCATTTCTGACCAGGGCTCTCTCTCAAGTAAAAGTATCATTACATGACCGCCAGCTCAGTGCAGCTGCCCTCCTTTGGGTGTGAAAGTTGGCTTGGACTTCAAGGATGGTAAGGGAGCCCACCCTTGACTGGTCCATGAGGTTCTGACTTTATTAGACTTTAAAACTTTGAGTTAGTTTTATTTTTTATTTTATTTTATTTTTAATTTTTTAAAAGATTTTATTTATTTATTTAACAGAGAGACACAGAGAGAGCACAAGTAGGAAGAGCTGCAGGCAGAGGGAGAGGGAGAGGGAGAGGGAGAAGCAGGATCTCCCTGAGCAGGGAGCCCGACATGGGGCTCGATCCCAGGACCCTGGGATCATGACCTGAGCTGAAGGCAGCCGCTTAACCGACTGAGCCACCCAGGCGCCCTGAGTTAGTTTTAGATGTATGGAAGCATCACAAAAATAGTACAGAGAGTTCTCATAAACCCTTCACTCAGCCTCCCCTTAGGTTAGCATCTCACATGACTATAGAACACTTACCAAAACTAAGAAAATTAACCCTGGTACAGCACACACTATTAATGAAAGTAGAGAATTTATTTAGATTTCATAAGCTTGTCCACTAATGTCCTTTTCCTATTTCAGTATCCAGTTCAGAACCTTACCTGGGGCATTTCCTGAATCTTTCCTTGTCTGTTATGATCATGACTCTCTTAAAAAGTACTGTCAATTATTTTGTAAAATGTTCCTCAATCTTGGGTTTGTTTCGTGTGATTAGAGTAAGGTATGTATTATTGGGAAGCATGATACAGAGGTGATATGCCCTTCTCAGTGCATCATATCAGAGGGCACATGATGTTTGTATGCATTAATGGTGATGTTAACTTTGGTTACTTGGCAAAAGTAGTGTCAGGATTGTCCACTGCCAACTTGCTACTTTTCCCTCTTTATTAGATTTTGATCATGTCCATCTTTACTTCTCTAGGATTAAGAGCTCCCCCAACCCCATAGTATATAATCAGTTCACCCCTCACAACCCTGGTGCAGCATCTCTTTCTGCCCAGGGGTCCTGTCCCCATGCTTTAAGAAAACCACTATTTTGCACCAAAAAAAAAAAAGAGTTCCAAAACCTAGAAATATGTCCTCGAAGTAACCTTTCTACCCCTACACTCCCAACCACTCCCCTGAGACACACCCATTCCTTAGTATCTGCCTGGTCACTTTCCCCTGAGTCTTCTTAAGTCGGGCATTTGGAGGCATGTGCAAAAGCCAAAGGCAAACACACCTAGAGTTTATAAGGACAACAGGGTGCTTCTAGTCCATTTTCAGGAACCTTCTTGTTGAGCCCCTGCAAGTTTCTGTGTACAGGGGCACTCTGAGAAAACGTGGCCAGCAACTGTTCACAGAAACGTCCGGCCTATCTCTCAGGTCTGACCTCAACCCTTGAGCACTTTTTTCAACATCTAACATTTGGGGTTTTTAAAAGTCTCTAACAGCATTCTTTTCATTTGGCCATGGATGACTCCTTACTACCCACTAGCCCAGATCCATGAGCTTCCCTCCTCCTAGAAGGCTCTTCCCTCCAAGAGTTTGCTATCATCAGAGATCCTGCCCCTAAAATGGATACATAACATACTTCTAATCAATTGAGTATGGAGAGATCTGCCTATCCAATCCTCCCCTTTGTTTTCATCTCTATCTGCCTCTAGTTTATTCCAAATCAGTGTGTTCTCCCATGCTGCTGCTTTAGAAGATTAAGAGGTGGAGCACCTGGCTGGCTTAGTTGGAAGAACATGCAACTCTTGATCTCAGGGTTGTGAGTTCAAGCCCCACGTCCGGTGTAGAGATTACTTAAATAAATAAAAACTTAAAAAAAAAGATTAAGAGGCATCACACCTCCTCCAGCCCACTAGTGACTCCATTTTAAAAAAAGATTTATGTATTTATTTTAGAGAGAGATAGAGAGAGAGTGTGTGTGAGTGGGGGGAAGGGCAAAGGGAGAGAGAGAATCTCAAGCAGACTCCACACTGAGCCCAGAGCCCAACACAAGTCTTGATCTCAGGACCCATGAGATCATGACCTGAGCCAAAACCAAGAGTAGGACATTTAACCAACTGAGCCACCCAGGCGACCTATGACTCCATTTTTAGAAGCTTTTGTGTAAAAGCATGAAAGGCCTTAGAAGATGCCTTCATCCATCCCCATCCCCTCTTTGCCCTTTGTTCTGGTTACTATTGCTGTATAAGAAGCCGCTCCAAAACTTCAAAGTTCCAAACACACATTTTATTTTGCTTATGATTTTGTGGGTCAAGAATTCAAGAAGGGCTTGGCCAGGCAATTCTTAGAGTCTCTCATGTAGTTACATTTAGATGTTGGCCAGGGCTGCCCTCTGAAGGTTCCATTGGGCTGCAGCTTCCAAGATGGTGCTCTCACATGGCTGACAGTCGACGCTGGCTGTGGTCTGGGAGCTCTGCTAGCCTATGGACAGGAACACCTATCTGTAGCTTCTCTAGGTCGGCAATCTCAGGGTAGAACCAGGCAGAGGCTATATGGTCTTTTCCAAGGGGAGAGGAGTGTCAAATGATTTGTGGACATATTTTAACCATTGCCACTCCCACCAGCATGGGATCCTCTCACAGCTTCTAGAACATTTCCTCCAGGACCACCCTCCCTGATGGGTTCTTAGCCACCCCCGGCCCCATCAGATCTTTTAGGTTGAAGCCAAAATGCCTTCCTCCCATTCCTCTGGGATGGTGACTCATCAGTTCCCACCTCCTTCAGTTTGCTGCTGTAGGGCACCTGGGTTCTGGTCTGGACTCTGCTACTGTGTGACCTTGGACAGGTAGCTTCACTTGTCTGGCCTCAGTTTCTTCTCTGCAAAGTAGGAATTAAGAACAACGTCACTTCATAGGCTGTTAGGATTTTAAAAGACAAGTGAATAGCAGACTTAGCCCAGCTGATGCTCCTGATTATGAAAGAAATAACTGGGGGCAAGTCATTTTCCCTCTTGGAGACTTGATTTCTGAAATGGGGATAATTCTCTTAACGCAATTCCCCCATGCGGATGAGAGGGGGTCTTAAATGGACTGCAGGGAGGGCCAGCCCACAAGTTGAGGCTTCCCAACCCTAACCTGGCCAGGAAGCCCCCTGCATCTATGCCCTGCTGGGGCCCCATGCCATGTGCGTGCGAGGTGGCCAGGGTGTGGCTTGGGGCGGTGCAGCGCACAGGGCGGGCCACTATCTGCCCCACCGACCTTATCAGATCCGGGCTGGCCACAACTCAGCCCCATGGAACAAAGAGGCTTTGAGAACAAGGCTGGGGTGTGGGACATGGGGCCGAGCCCCATCAGGCACATTCCACCCAGGGGGCAGAGGGCATGGGGTGGGGGAGCCATTGCTGCCAACCCCTACCAGAGAGGTTTCTCTGTGCTGGGGGCACCCTTCTGTGTGGGGAGCAGGGTCTGTGCCCTCCCCCAAGGCCCAACGTCCGACTTCTTTGGGGCATTTCCTGCTCCAGCCCTTCCCACCAGGCCCGCAGCTCCCATCCCTTCCATAGGGCACAGTGTCCCCCCACCCCCAGCCCAGCTCCCATTTCCCCTCCTGGCCCCTTTAGCCCCAGCCACACCAGTTCCCAGTTCCTGAGCGTGCCCTGCCCCTCTCCCCGCATCTGCTCCCAATAATCCATCCACCTACCCTTGCCCCAGGCACTCAACCTAAAAGGTGGCAGCCCAAAACGGGGCACTGGGGTCATTGAGCTCATCCTGTCCCCGCCCCTGTCTAATCACTCTGCGCTTCCTCCTGTGTGACACTGTGGGGGAACTTCTCTCCAAACTTGAATCACAGGTGGGAAATCTGCTGAGCCTAGCAGAGAGGCCCCTGCTGGCCATCAGGGCCACAGTCAAGGTTGTACAAGTTGTACATTACATACGGGCTCTGCGCTGGGCAGGCAAGCCGGGGCTGAAATCCAGGTGTGCTGGTACCCCAGTGTGCCCCCTGCGCTGGGCTCTCTCCTCAGCAGGTTTGCTGGCACCAGGCCAGAAGAGTTGTCTTTTCTAGCTGGGTCTCTTTGCAGGGTGGGGAGGGAGGGATTTGCTAAAATTTTTAATGGAGGGGCTCCTATTTCCAGTTCCCACACTAGGGCTGCCCGTGCCAGCAGCAAGCCTGGTTGTCTAAAGGATCAATGCATTCAGCTCAGCCTTTCCCAGCACAGCACTGCAGACTGTCAGAAACCATCCCCAAGGCAGCATCTTCAGGTGAGTGCATCCCACGCAGCTTCGGAAGAGCCATCTCCAGGGTCACTGGGTCTTTCCAAACCAGAGAGAGGAGGCTCCAAGGACAGCTTGGGGGTGGGTACCTGAGGGGACGCCTCTGCACAGACAAGTAGGAGAGCTGGGGTGCAGTGGCCCCTGTGTTGAGGGCAGTCGGTCCAGGCCGCTCCATAGGCCTTCCAGCCAGATTCCCCACTTTGTCTCCTGTACCCCAACACTCCGGGTCTCCCTATGTCCAGTTCTCCCCAAGGACTTGTGGACTCAGGCACAGGTGTTGCAATTTGCCTGGACTGGGCTGTGCGGGGCTACTCTGCATCTCCTCCCCATGCAATCCCGATTGGGGGGGCGTAGGCAGAGAGAACAGGAGCCCCGAGGGTCACTCGAACCCAGTTAGACCGGCCTTGGGCAGTGAGGAGGGAGGATATCTATATGGGAAAGCTCTGGATTTCTCCCCCACAGGTGCAGGCACTAAAGGCTGGAGAAGAGCCACGGTCAAGGGCTCTGGACCCCGGGGGAGCTGGATCTCATGCTTCGACACCTGAAGTTGACTTGAACCCTTTCCTCAACCTCACTACTCACCCAAACTGGCCTCAAGTCCTGGCCGTTCTACTCCTAAACATCTACAGCCTGTCACCTTCTTTCTGACCCCATGGCTATCTCTCCAGTCCAGTCCACCATCTTCTCTCCCCCCTAAATGGACTCCCCGCTTCCGCAGCTGCCTTCTCTGATCCGTCCTCCACACTGCAGCCGGGCGAGCTTTCTGAAACAATCTAGTGAGCTTCCCCAACTTCAGACCCTCCAGGCCCTCCCCAAGCCCTCAGGTTCAAGTCCAAATGTGTGGCATACAAGGTCGTGTGACATTTGACCCCTGCCTGCCTCTCTGCCTCAGTTTGGCCAAGCCCACAGAGCTTCGTGACGCGGGCCTGGAAGTTCCTCCGAGCCCCCAGGCTCACTCGAGCCCCCACGCTTTTGCACTTACTGTGTCCTCAGCCTGGATCCCTTCCTTTACTGCCCTGCCACACAAAGCCCTCCTTGCCCTACCTGTAGCATCCTCGCCTCCGGGAAGCCCTCCTAGCTTCCAGCCTCCATGGCACTCCCATAGCCCCCCCGTGAGATGCGGCCACAGCACTCAGCACACAGCACGGGCGTGTCTCCCCATGCTGCTTCCTCCCACCCAAGAGTTCCCCGAGGCAGGGACTACCACTTTCCTTCACGCACAGGACCTAACACAAGAGTATCCAGTAAATAACGACCAACCAGGTGAATGCAGCTCACAATTGTAGACGCCACAGCCTTGGGGGCTGCACTTGACCCTGAGAGGAGAGATAGGTATTGTGTCAGTAGCTGCCTGGGCAGTACTGTTGACCCTCCTCTGGGCCTTGGCTTTATAGACACTGGGGCGAGGTGGGTTTAGGTGGGAGGGATTGGGGCCACCATCATACTGTAATGGTGGAAGATGGCAGGCTGTCTCCCCGTGTCTCCCCACTCACAGTCTGCTCAGATCTGCTCCCAGGATTCTTGGAAAAGCCTCAGGGCCCCACCTCCATACCAAGGTTGGTTTTTGAGGGTCTGAATTCAGGTAAGTTTTTTTCTGAATCTTTGCAGCCTTCTCTGTCTGAAGAATGAATGTGTTTCCTGAGGAAGCCCATCTAGAACAGAAAGGTCTGGGGACACCAAATGGCCCTGTGTCTGCAGGACAGAGTGTGCTCAGGCCCAGTAGGAGAGGCAGCTGGACCCCATGGAGGAAAGCCTCTCTCTTCCTCCCCCTCCCCTTCCCTCCCTCCCTTTCTCTCTCTCTCTCTCTCTCTGTGTGTCTCTCCCCCACCATTAAAGAATGTCTATAAGGGAGAGAATGTACAAACAAATGGACAAGAGTATCTTGATCTTGATCTTCTGTTTTTCACTGTAAATGAGTTCATGGACATTCTGGACCCTGTGAGCCTGGTCCATGAGCGTCCGCCATGAGTCCATTCTAGATGTGCTGATGAAGCTGACAACGCTGAGAGTACTTTCCAGAGAGAACCCAAGTTCACCAAGGGAAAAACCTTGTGGTCAAACCATGGCCCAAAGGCCAGATGCATGGGTTCGAATCCTGCTTCTGTCCCTTGCTATGTCATCTCGGGCAAGTTACTTAACCTCCCTGCGCTTCTGTGCTCACCTGGAACATGGTGATATGAAAACATACACCACCTAAGGTTGTTACCAGAATGAATGGCTTCATATAAAGCACTTAGCGGTGAGGGTTAGTCTTCACTGAACAACAGCAGTTGTCATTATGGCCTGTGGGGGTCTATTTCCTCCCAGAAGACACAGTATCCAGGGCAATGACATTTTCTCCAGAGTTTTCCTCCACGGAGGTGGGGAAAGGGTGAGGTAAGAGTCTGAGCAGTCATCCCTGACAGTGATCTTTGTAAGAGGGGAGAACCTGGGCAGTGGTGTGTTTTAGCAACTGGCTCTCCATGGTTGGGGGAACTCTACTTCGGAGCATACATCAGTTTCCATGGTGTGAATACTCCCGCCATGGCTATTTCAACTATTTCAATTGGCTTGCGGAACGTCTGACAATTTCACAAGTGTGCCGCTGGACCTGGGAATCTCAGCTGACCTGTAGTGAGATCAGCTCAGAAAAACCTGCCTTGAGCTAGAGAGACCAAGAGAAAATGAAGAAGGGGGTCACCTTGTCTGGACAACCAACTGGGCCTTCTCTAGACTAAGCAATGTTTCTCCAGGTGCGGTCCATGGACCATCTGCCATGTTTGGTGTGTTTGTAAAAATAAGTTCCTGCGCCTCACTCAGCGTCTATTAAAGCAGAATTATTTGAGTGGAGCCAGGAATCATTTTTAAACATGCTGCCCAGGTGATTCTGAGGTTTGAGGGCTGCTAGATTAGGGACCCCTGAGTTATCCCAGAAGTCAGAAGGGGCCATGAGGCAGATGCGAATTCTACAGAATCTTTTCGTACCGTGGTCCATTATTCTCACTGAAGGAAGAGAACCCCAGGCCCTGAGAAAGTCTGGAATAAGCAAGAAAAGCACCTCAACTAGGCACAGTGAGGTGGTTCTAGATGAGTAAAGTGACCTTGGGCTATTTACCTCAGTTCTCTTTCTGGTCCAGTAGTGTTTAGGGCAAACTTGGAGGTCAGCGTGTGAAAGGCCTTGCCTGGCACAGAGCCCAGCTCTCTGTGGGGACTTTGCTGGGCTGCTGGGTGAGGAGGGCCTGCAGAGATGGTGGGAGCATGGGAGGTTTTGTCCGTGGAGGAAGGTGAGCACAGCCCCGGACGGACCCACCCATGGCTCCAGGCTGTCTGTGTATTGGCCCCACTCAGCATCCTAGACTCTATGGCTCTAACAACTTAAATAATTTTTATTACAAAAGGAAGAAAAGACCAAAACATCCCCCAAATTCTCCCATGGGCTTCCCCCTCCGCGCCAATAAATAAGGTGGGGGAGACTGACCGGAGGGGGTGTGGGGGTCATGGTTCAGCAGAAGAGGGAGCTTAGCCTGGGCAGGGGCGGAAGGACATCCAGCCCCCTCCCCTGGTCCCGGGCACTATGATCACATTGGCTGGAACCCAGAACTCTGGCCACCACAGCAACAGTCTCTGGATGTGTCCCGGGGAGTGTGGCCAGGGACGAAGGTCATGCCTCAGGGTGACCAGGCTGGCTGCCCTACCCCGCAGCCTTGGCAGTTCTGGGCAGCAGGTGATGAGTCCGGCCAGCTCCCTGCTGGCTCCCAGGGAATCTAGCAGCATCAACTGAGGTGTGAGCCCAACTAAGAGGGGCCTCAGACAAATGGAATGGGCCCTCCTCTGTGGGGAAGGCGGGTGTGAAAAGCCGAAGGGAGGGCTGGCTGGGTTGGCCCCACTGTGCCAGCCTCGAGGTCTCTAGAATAGAAGGCTAGAGCAGCCCCACCCCGCCCCAACCGGCTCGGCATCGAGGTGGGGTGGTCCACACTGGCACTGCCCAGTCAAGTCGCGATGGTGTGTCTCTGTCGAAGAGGAGATGGTGGGAACCAGCGCCCCCCAACTCAGGCCCCGGCCAGCGCTGGTGCCCTGCGGCAAGCAGTTAGGCAGTTGCGGGAGGGCAGCGAAGGGGCCTTTTCAGCTCCCTGGGCCGGCCATGCCCAGCGAGTGGAAGCTACCCTCTTCCAACAGGAGCCGTCCCAGACGGTAGAGCACCTGGGGGTACCAGTGCACCCCCTCTCCCGGGCTCCAGCTGCCCCACGCCAAGCTGTGAAACAGTCGCAGGGGCCAGAAGGCCAACTGAGCCAGACGGTGGTCCGCCACGGCCGCGAAGCAGGAAGCCACCACATCCTCCACCACCAGCGTCCCGTGCCGTGTTAGCGGGGCGTAGGCCCCAAGGGCCACGTGTGTGGAGACAGCCGCCACTCGGGCAGGCTGCAGGCCTGGCACCCCGGCCACCAGCACATACTGGCCGGGCTGCACTTGGCTGGCGAACGTGGCCCGGAAGTGGGTGGCTGGCTCCGTGTGATTGTTGGAGGTGAAGAGCAGGTGGGCGGGCGTGAGTGCCAGGCGGCGCGGGGGGTCCTGGGTCTCGATGACCCGGAAGGCCCTCAGCCTGTCTGGCTCGCGATCCAGGAAGATGAGCACGTCGCTGAAGGTGGGGTTCCCATCCTCCCCCATGGCCAGCACCCGGTCTCCAGGCCTCAAGGCTGACAGCGCCACGCGTGCCCCACTCTCCAGGCGCACCTGGGCTCCGGCAGGAAAGCAGCCACCTGTCTTGGCCGCAGCCGAGTGCTCTGTGGGAAGAAGGGACACGAAGGTGTTACTGCTGGTCACAGCACCCCTCCCCAGAGCTCCTCTCGCTCTCACTCCCGGAGAGCCCCCCCATCACCATTTCCTGGCTCTGCTCCGCACTCCCTCCCTTAGTCCCATGCAGCCTTGAACCCACCCCAACCCACCATGTGATCTTCCTCCCTCCCACCCCCAGTCAAATCCTTTGCCAGTGAGAGGAGCGTATTGCGGCGCCAAGACAGCGAGGGAGGAGGAAAGGGCCCTGCCGAAGCCCAGGTAAAGCCCCTGCCGGCCCTCAAGCCTGACAGTGCCAGGAAGCAGTCGGAGAGGCCAGGGGCCGGCTGAGCTGTGCAGCGGTCCGCTGTGGCTCGACCCTCGGAAAGCTGCAGTCTCGTGGAGAAGGCACTTAGCTCCTCTGGGGTCTGGATGTCCCATTATTTCTCACTCCTTGCTCAGACACTCCCCAAAAACTGCCCTCTCAGACGGACTCCCCAAGTTCTGTGCCAGAGCTGGCCCTTGGAGTCCATAGAAGGGTGAGAGGGGGGACCCGCCATGCACAAACACAGGCTTCCGGGGGCGCCTCAGAGCGAAGGGTCAGGCCAGGGTATGGCTCAGTGGCAAGGGTAAAATCACCGTCTTCAGTTCATGTGCTGGGTCCTTGTGTGGGGACAGGACACAGTGGCACTGGTGAGTGGGATGGAGAGCAGTGTTGGGGGTCAGGAATAATGATGCAGGTGGCCGCTTGGGGGGCTGGCCCCAGGCCAGTGGCTCGCAGGTGAAGGGTGGAGGTGACTTGAAGTAGATACAATTGGCGGGCAAGTGCTGGAGGGGAGGGTGGGGGTGGGGGCCCCCACTGTGTGCCCCGGTGGGTTTGGGAATAGGAAGCAGTGGGCGTGGTCTCAGTGTGCCAGGTCTTCAAGCGTGACTACTGCCGCCTGGTGCCCGCGCGGAGGGCTGTGCCCGCAGCCAGGTGGGGCCAGACTGGCAGTCACGCAGGAACCATTTGAAGCATCCATGACTGGGTTCAGTGTAGGTGTCACGGATGCTGACAAGATCTGAGGGAGGGGCGAGGCCCCGATGCCTGCCCATTCGGATCAACAAGGCGGCCAATCTGGGAAAATCCATTTTATTGAGTCCACTCTGTTTATTCTGGCCCTCGTGGCTGGCTTTGCCCCAAAACGTCCAGCTTCAGGGCCCTGGGGGGTGAGAGGTTGGGGACGCCTGCACCCCCTGGAGGAGCATACAAAGTGCCCCAAAGGGCCTGACCTGCAGCAGGGTTGTGGGTTCTGAATCTCTGGGCTCCTGGCTCCCGGTCAGGCGTGCTGGTGTCTGGGCACGCCCTGGCCCCTGGCCCCCGGTCCCACCACCCGCCTCCATTCTGAGTCAGCTGAGTGGGGAGGCCATCTCTGTCACAGCCTGGCCTCCATCTGTCCAGCTTGCTCTGTCTTGCACCTCCTGTGGAAGGCTCTGGACTGTGGACCGCAAGGCCGGCCCCCAGCAGCGCTGGGACGGGGCCCTGTCTCCCTAGGCTCCTGCCATGACACTACCAGGCACGGGATGAGCAGGTGGTCACAAGCAGCAGCGGGGAGCGCCGCGGACGTCCTCTTCCCTGGGGTCCCCTCCTCCATCCCCTGGCGGGCCTCTTCACCTTCCGGGCAGCAGTGAGCCCTGTGCCTGCCCACGCCCTGCGGCCCCGGCCCCGGGCCCAGCCCCCAGGCAGCGGCTCACCAGACTTGACGGAGCAATGCACGTGGGCCTTGGACTCGTAATACACCCAGTCGAAGCCGGCCTCCACTGCCAAGCGTGCCAGCAGTCCGTACTTATTGCGGTCGCGGTCCGAAGTGGTAATGTCCACCGCGCGGCCCTCATAGTGCAGCGACTCCTCCGAGTGGTGACCGTCCTCGTCCCAGCCTTCGGTCACTCGCAGCTTCACGCCGGGCCACTGGTTCATCACCGAGATGGCCAGCGAGTTCAGGCGGTCCTTGCAGCGCTGCGGGAGGAAAGTGCGCGGAGTTAGGGGGAGATGGGGAGATGCTGCCCTGTGGGCAGGTGGAGGTGCGCCTCTAGCCTCTCCCAGAGCATCCGCTGGATTTGGGAAACCAGGGAGGGTGCTCTGTCCCTGTCTCTTAGGAACAAAGAGCCCTAACTTGCTGCCTTGCGTTCTAGCATCTGGCGGCTCCAGGGACCTGGACCGCACGGTGGCGCCACAAATCTGGAGGGCCCGGAGGGCGGTGCACCCTTGGGCGACCTTCTCTGATAAGTGGCCCCTCCCTCCTGCACTCTCTCTCTCCCCTCAGATCGGGGTACTGATCCCTCCACAGGTGGGGCTACACTTTTCCAGTGCCCAGTCCCTCTGTCCCACCAAGGCACCGGAGACCAGAAACCACCCTCTGCCCGCAGGGTGGGGGTGCCGACTGCCTGCGGTTGGCCCGCTAGGCATGCAAGGCCGGACATGCCCAGTAGGTGTCACCATAGCCTCAGGGCTGAAGCCCCCCAACTCGGGTCCCCTGGACCCGGCAGGTGCAGAGCGCCCCAGCAGCGTGGGGGTGTGTTGAAGGGGAATCCCAGGCCTCCCAGATCTCTTGGTTGCCACAGAGTATTCCTGCTGGGACTTAAGATCCAAAAGCGTCCAGCAACCAATCCGAGGATGCGGAAGCGGGGGAACCAGAAGCTGGTGGAAATGCTAGCGCCCAGCCTGGCCAGTTGGAGGGCGAGGCAGAGCGACTCCCGCTGCACGGGGAGCCCGCAGGGTTGATAACCCCAGGCAACGTTCTCCCTGAGTCCAGAGCCTTCGGCACCTCTGCGCTGCCCCTATCAGGGAAGGGACCCAAGAAACCGAGCCTCTGATCTCAGCGAGCCCGCTCCACGCTCTGTCTCACATGGGGGTGGGAGTAGAACCGCGCCCTGCGGGAAGGACGGGAGAGCTCACCCGTCTGTGGTGACTCCCCGCGTGCCTGCAGCCCAAAGGACCCTGCAATCGACTGGGAGGAGGGGCCTGTGGGAAGAGGGGGCCCTTTCACAGTACTTGACTCAGGTGCGAGGGGCCGCCAAGTGTGGGCAGACGGTGTCTCAAGCTACCCCCACCTCGCAGAGCCCGGGCCCCACAGACCCTTGGACTCGGGTCTCCCAGGAGCCAACCGGGGCTACAGCCCAAGGCCTGGCCGTCCTCCGGGAGAGCAGCCTAGCTGGGGGCTGCTCACTGCCCAGGGAGGGAGCTCTGCGTGCTCCTTGCCTCCAGGCTTCTAGCCCCCCACCTACGTCGGCCCGCCCGTCGGGCCCCTGCTCCCCGCCCCTCTCCCCCTCCCCCGGGTCCAGAGCCGGGGCGCGCGCTGTCAATGATTGCCCAGCCCGTGGCCCGGATCCTTATCTGCATTCCTCGGCGCCCGGCCCGGCCCGGCCACCAGCCAACCTTCGGCCCCGACACCGGCAGGCCAGCCCCGGCGCCAGGGCGCAGGCTGAGGGTTGTGGTGGAGCTGCTCTTCCCAAAGCACCTAGGGAGCAGGCTGCCTGCCTGCGGGGGAAGCCCCGGGAGACCACTGAGGAAGGGCACGTAGGTTTCTGATCCCTTGGGACCCCGGCTGCAGGGAAGAAAGTTTGCTCCCCAGTGCGTGGGCTGAGCGGGTCCTCTTCGGAGCTTGCAGAAACTAGCTAGAGGTAGCTCTGCTCCCTGCCTCCCCGGGCATCCTGGTTCTTCTCTTTCAACCCTCCCCGGCCCGCCACCAAGCCCAGGGATCCCCCAAGTTCGGTCCCAGAGCCCCAAGTTCCCGGCACCCCACCCTTAACCGCAGCTGCGCCGCTCCGCTCTGGGGACAGACACGTGGGCTCGCCAGGCAAGTTCCCTTTCCCACCTCCGCCTCCCAGCCCAACTCTTCCCGCCGTCCC